CCATGCTCCTACTGAAGAATGTCTATGCAGCTACATGCTGTTGCCGTGACGACTTCTATGGGGTCCACTGTGGAGAGAGGTGGGGGCGGCGGGCGGGGAGACCCCAACCTTCTGGCCCAGGTTTTCAGTGGAAAGCACAGGCTTTGATGAACCTGGTAGAGAAGGGGCTGCCGATCCTAAAGCGATAGTTGTCCGTGCCCGGGAAGGTAATTGGCAGCATGGTGTGTCCCTGAAGATGCCCCTTTCTAAGTCACAAACTGTGGGTAGCCTAGCATTCTGGTGCAAGGGGCATGGCCAGGTGTGGAAGAGTGTGGAGGAAGAGATTTGAAAGAGATGTTTAAGCCTCGAGTAAAGACTTAGTTTAAAAACCAGTGGAAATGGAATATCCAGGGCTCCATAAAATTTTAAAGACCTCACTGCCCAGGAGCCGGTTCTGGCTCATAACCCTACAGGACAGGGTAGAACTGCCCCTGTGGGCTTTGAGACGATCACTCTTTATGGGAGTAGAGCGCCTCATCTTTCTCCCCAGGATGGTTGGTCGATTTGAACTGCTGACCACGAGGTTAGCAGCCCAATGTGGAACCCACTAGCCACCAGGGCTCCTTCTCACTGCCTCCGATGGTGGCGCTGTAGGACAGAGTGGAACTGTCCCCGTGGGATTCTGAGACTGCAACTCTGTACAGAAGTAGAGAATCCCCTCTTTCTACCACACAGTGGCTGGTGGTTCCGAACTGCTCACCTGGGGGCTAGCCCCCCAGTGTGTCACCACTGTGCCATAAGGGCCCCTCCTAAGAGCTCCTCACCCCCCACTTGTTATTGCAAGACCAAGCAAAGGATGGTGTGAGGATTTACCCAAGCACAAGCTCCATTGTTTGCTTTTAAGGGTGATGTGAACAAGAAAAATCAGCAGCAGCGGGCCACTGGCAGGCTGGCTGGGTTATCATGACGTAGGCAGAAGGTAGATCATCGGTCATCTAGTTGCCGACTTACAGTGGCCTTATGGGCAATCGAATGAAGCGCCTCCCAGTGCAAGGTTGTCATCGTGGCGATTGGGCCAGCCCATCTCAGGGGGACCCATTCTGTCCTTCCCCGAGCACGATGTCCTGCCCCAGAGAGTGCTCTCTCCTGGTGACAAGTCAGACAGTGTGCGGCCGGGACCCATCAAGTCTCATTGGCCTAAGCTCTCGATCCAAACGCCAAGTCTTTCTCCCTGGATGGTCAGTCTGGAAGCTCTGCTGAAACCTGTCCACCAGGGTGACCCTAGGTAATACCAGTGGCAAAGCTTTCCGCATCACAGCAGCCCAAGAGCCACCGCAGGATGACACAAATGGCACCTACCAACCACCTTCACGACCAGTGTTATCGTATCCCAGAGCCTGACTGACCGTCCAGGGCTTCTTGGTCTAGCAAGCTGGCCTTGCAGCCCAAACCTGTCCACACCCACCTCCTAGGTCTCCCTCCCCGTGTGCTCAAGACGCGTCTTCCGAGCCAAGTCTCTCACGCTTCCTACAATGGAAGAGTGCTTCACCAGTCTCGGGCTTTGGTATATGATAAAACCTTTATTTACAAAATGCCCTAGTCCTTTAAAAAGATACAGAAAAAAGGGTTTGAATAAAACATGAGGGGGGAAACCTGCAGGCAACAAAAGCCAAATTCTGATCAGAAGATCAAGAGACATCGGTGAGACCCAGCAAATCAAACACTCATCAGGGCAAACCGGTCGAGGGAGAGCAGCCAAGGCAAGCCTCTCTCTGACCCTCGACTCCAAGTGTTCTTGTCCCACGCGTCGGCAGCCAGGCCAGCCATGTTCAAGTTGCATGTAGTCTTGCTCCTGCCCATCTTGTGCAGGAGTGACCTTCATCAACACAACATCAGGGCAAGGCAATGCCTGCACCCAGTCCAGACTCGGGAGGAGCGCTGTCAGTACCGCGCCGTCCAGGCAGCATTGCTGGAGCCCCAGCTTATTTTCTTAGGAGCTGTTACCTCAGGTCAAACCCAAGTTTGACTCCTCTCTGCATGCGTCTCCGGGGTCCTTGGTGGGTGGCCGGCATAACACCAGCCTCTCAGTCCACGGGCCACCTGGAGGGCTACCACTTTTTCCTTCCGTTCAGAGGTGGAGTATTTCCTTTAGCCCAAGCCTGGGAAGTGAACAGCTTGTTCGAGGTGGTAGCGTGGGGATGGAACAGTAAAGAAGAGATGCAGCTGCTGACAGTGTTATCGCGTGTGGTGGTTGAGAAGCAGCCTTGGCCACTGTTGGATCTTGGAAAGGCTCACGTAGGCGTGGCTTCTGAGGTCTCTGGGCCTTCAAACGGATGAATCTCTCTTTGTCACCAGAGGCAGATAGGTTCCGGAAAGCAATGGAGGAGGAGGATGGGGGAGTGAAATGGTTTCTTGCGTGATGGGAAACAAGGAGGTGCACTGGTGGCCCCTCAGGATTTCCCAAAGGTGAAGCTTGATGACCTGGTACTTTTTCTTCCCACCAGACGTTTGACATTTCTTGGTCCCGACTGGGCATCCGAGTCTCCGGGGCACATCTCCTCCCTAGGGGACTGAGCCTGCTGGGCTTCTCTCAGCTCCCTGGCAAGAGACAACAGTGGGTGGACATCGGTGCCTCACTCCTCACCAAGAAGGATATTTTCGAACACGCAACATGGGAAGAAGAGCTTGTGTTTTATTTCAGGAGTTTCAGACCCAAGCATGAGCTTGGGTGGGGGATGCCATCCCTGTGGTTGTCATGAAAACAAAACAACATGGGAGACCCCCGCATGCCCAAGGGCACGGTTTTCCAAAACCTACCGACGGCAGCACTAAGGATCTTTGAACATGCAGCCATGAATGGAGCAGCTGGACAAGATGAAGGGGCTTCAGGACGTTTGTGGAAGAACAGAGGCAGTGATACTGGAATCCCCCTAACCCCCATGAATTTTGTGAAGCCCCCCATAGCTAAAGCCGCAGGACCGGCAAACCAGAGCCTCATCCAACCCTCAGCTTGCTGGCATAAATGAGGCTTAGTTGGAACACCAAACCTAGAGAGAGCCACGCCAGTCCCCTGGGAGTCTGTTCAGAGCCATGAAAGCCCAGCAGGGTGGGCATCCGGGCTGCTCCTTGGGTGTTCCAGCCTGGGGGCTCTCCCACGCAGACCGCCATGCCTGCCTTCTGAAGCTCGTCAGCCAGTACTTGACCCTTTATGCCACACAAGGCCCCTCTACTGGAACTCAGCCATACACCATTGCCGGTGGCTGCTTTCCAGGAGATGCCATGGCTAAAGCCCCTGAAGATCAGCAGTTCAAACCCACCAGCACCTCCACAGGAGAAAAGGCCTGGCATGCAGCTCACACAAAGAGGACAGGCTTGGAAACCCGAAGGACAGTTCTACTCTGCCCCACAAGTCTGCTATTCAGTGGGACCAAGTCAAAGGGGTTGGGTTGGGCTTTTTGGAGTAATTGAAGTCAGACCTTGAGGCCTG